TTACATGATAATTCATGTTACTACGAGTTGATCATGGATTGATATCAGTTAGAGAATCCCAGGTCGAATCCCAGTGGGTGCATACTGCCGATGATTCCCAAACTAGGATGAAACAGTAGCTGTTCAGTGCTCCCTGGTTTTCAATCGTTCTCTAACTGATATCAACCCGTGATCAACTCGTAAAAACATAACTAACCCTTACAAAGCAAACTATAGAAAATTCATTTTACGGTTTTCCTCAATTTGTGAAACAACAGTGACGGTCTCACTAGCACTAGGTATATCCACTGTTCCCTGCACAGTTGAATTTGAAGGCAAAGGTACTGTTTTATCCCTTGCCAACTCTTCCCTAGATGCGCAGTAACTTTTCCAGTCACTAAATGCTGCATCACCGTTTTTGACGGCGATAAAATGTGGAGAAGCTGTATCCAAGGCATTCATGAAGAAGACATTCTTCTCCTACTACTTGTTGCAGAATGTTGAATACCCGTATCTAACACATTATCTGAGTTGTTTTCCTTCTAATAGAAGTCGACAAATATACACCGAAAATCTAACTCACCTGCATGATTTATAAATCCTGTAAGAATGGTCTCTGTATATAAGGAGTACCGCTTATATACCTCTAGGCAAACATCAGTTATTTTAATATGCAAAGGGATGACGGGTGAACTGTAATCGCAACTGTTAACATTTTCCTTAAAGCAAGTATCCTTTTTCATCTGTGGGATTTCAGTTTTCACCCCCACCCCACTCTCAGTTCGTTTTAAGTTTTTGTGTTTCATATTTCGTTATATTTCATTCATGATAAGTATATTTTTTCATCTGTTGTAGTTAACCCATTTTTTGTTCTAATGTTTTTCGACTTTCCAATCGTGGGCCTGTCATAAGTGAACCGTTATCATTTATTCTTACACATAAATCATGACAACTGTATTCACTCGACTGTTTAAAGTGCATTAAACATGGCCCAATATGTTCTCCCAAAATTGTTTCGGTTTTCCATTTTTGACCTCGTCTCAACTGAACTATAATCAAATTCAGGGACGTTCCACAAACGAAATATATCATTCATTGCAATCTTCTTATGTGACCAATTCACATTCCCCTACCCCCCTGTCGAATTATGTTTTCGTGGTATTCTGATTTACTGTCACACCTCTGGTCAAATAGACCAATCACATTATATGTAATTCGCAGACAAGTCTGTAGTCGTCACACTATGTACTCTGTGTGAAACCTACTCTTTGCGGATTGGTTGATCTCAGTATACTATGTCCAGAAAGAGTGCTATTTTTCAGTATTAACCGCAGCAACTAGGCATGCAGTGCTTATTTTCGGCACCAAAGGAATTATATACGTCCAAACCAAGTTCACTTTTAACAGTGTGAAAAAATTTGGGCATTGGGTATATGATATTCATCATAATAAAGGTTTTTGTATTTCCCGATGAATGAAAAACAAAACGAGATTGTTTTTACTGATATTTCGCTATTTAATGCTAATAGCTTTATCAGAGTATTAATAAACGGGATTTTGTAAATTCCGGCAGCTCAGCGGTAGTACGGCCAGCATCGGTTTTTAAGGCGTTTCGTATCCCTAGGAGAACTGACGGAAGGGATTCAGTCCAATGGGTGTTGCTTGCAGCTGATAAACCAGCTTTCAACTGTCTGTGCAGACGTTCTACCATACCATTAGTTTGACGATGGTGGGCTGTTGTTCGAAAACGCATGCAACCAAGGATTTTAGCCAAAGCGAAGAATAAGCCGCTTTAGAATTGCCGCCCGCGGTCAGTTGTTATGGAAGATGGGCATCCAAAGTTTGCGATCCATCTTTCTACAAAGACGCGTGCAACGGTTTCAGCAGATACATTGGACTGTCCAATCAAAGCAGACCAATTAGTTCTAATACGTGCACTGACATAGAACGGTTGGTGTGGCGACTGTTTGCTGATATACTGACCACCGTGAATAATACCTGACGGATGTGATGGTGGTGGCGGTCTGATTGCGGTGCAATAACACGGAAAAGCGGGCGCAAACAATTCAAGAAGTTCATAATAGCTCATCGAATATGTGTTGGCCGGTGAGTTTTGGAAACTCCTACTGTACATGTAGTCCACGGCAGACAAACAAAGAGAGTAAGCACCCAGTAATATGCCGAAAACTCAGAATAGTTTCTGAAAGCAAAAGGAGGGAACGAATGATTTGAGTGATTTTCATCATCTGGTCATAATGACGTATAATGTAACATTTACGAAAATAATATGTATACCTCACGATTGTGATATGAGGCTTTTCCTTTCTTTTACTTATAAGATACATGCCATGTGAACGCAGAAAACCATTTTGTCGAACCTATGAGTGAACTAAACATGCGTGATCATACACTGGGTTTTTACTTTGAATATGTGTGCCTTAATCTGCATGCCCTGTTGTAACGGTACACTTTTACCTCGGTTCTTGGGTTTGTGTTCTCCTTTGTATGTTTCAGTGTTTTGTATCGGCCTGTCAGTCAGGCATTTTCTTTTCAGTTACACAGGCGATGCAGCTACAATCGCTATTATATAATAACAATCTGCTTTATTCCAAAAGCAGTACTTATTATACAGCATAGAATTCTCAGCATTTGACGCAATATTGCATCTAATTTACCCAAAATAGAAATAAAAACAACCACAGGAATTTTTCCACATCTACATTAATAATAAAATCAAAAGTGTGCAAAGTAAAAAAGTGAGAACAATAACTATAATGATAATAATAACATCGGGTTTGCTTCAAACACTATCGCCGATACAGTATGGAAATTTTCGCATGTTGTAGAGCATTGAATCTAATGTTCTGTTGATATAGCATGATGAGGGGAAAAACAAAAAATAACAGTTATTACAGAGGTTAAGTTATGTTTGCACTTATGGGAAAATAAGCAAAAAATGAGGGGACTGCAAATGAGAATAATAACACCAAAGCCTGGTGTTATAAGGGTGGAGAAAATTGTTTATTTACTAGTAGTAAGAAGGTTACTTAGTTCGTGCCTGATACTATTTTCACCACATAAAATACACGCGAAACATGGTATCGTGAAAATTTTATACCTTGAAATGACTTCTTGTTTTACCTGGGGAGACACAAGGTGAAATCTGCGGGTAGAGCGGATGATCGCAGTCTGACAAAATCCATTTAGCGAATTTGTTGCCTATCAATGACAATGTCAACGATATGATCCAAGGGCATACCATTCACCCTACTGAAAGTCTTCAGAGTTCTACAAATTACAACATAGTCTTTATAAAGCAACTCAGGACAGAATAAGAGTGAACAATAAACAAGAATAAGTAAGATTCAAGCGTAGACAAGCTGTAAGAGGAGGGGTTGGGTTTCTCCCGGGTGCCTTAACTTCTCAATACAAAACGTTGGTCGGAAAATTTATTTTAGAAATCGCTAAGACGTGGGAAGACTAGGATGAATCAGAAGAAGGAATTAGTCCAAGATACTTCACGTCAGACTTGATTTGTATATCAGTATCATCAATTTTTCAACAGTCAGAACAATTAACAGCTTCATTTAACTTTCTTCTACACCGGAAACTGATTTCAACAGTCTGACATTTAGAAGGATTTAGTTTAAGACAATTTGGTGACTCCTGATTGAAAGCTGTTCATCTTAGTGCAGTCTAGCTGAGACTTCACAGGCATTGGAACAGTTATATCGTCCGCATACCTAAAAAGCTTCATTTCATCAGAGTGAGGCAAATCATGCAAGAAGAAAGAAAACAGAAAAGGAGAATGAACAGAGCTTTGATGGACTCCAACCAGATTAAGCAATGAAGTGGACGAATCCCCCTGATACACAGTGTACTGATTACTTCCTGAAAAATAAGAGTGCAGCCAGTTAATAACCAAACACTCAGTTTGAGTTTCAGTAAGCTTATTTAACAAAATACCCCTGGGTACTGAGTGAAAAGCAGATGTGTAGTCCAGGAAGGCGCAGCGAACAAATTCAGCCCCTTTGTCTAAACTAGAGACGATGTTATGATACAAGATTGCAGCTGTATCTAAAGTACTTCTTCTACGTTAAGCTCTTCTAGTGGAGGTTCAAGATTAAGTAAAAACAACTTTTCCACAGTTGTCAAAAAGGGAGGAGTTATAGAAATAGGTCTAAATTTGACACATGTTCCACTACATGACTTAGGTATCGGTACAATTTTAATGTCTTTCCAAATGGCTGGCACAACATTTCTGAGAAAAAGATTGATTAAATATGTCAGTGAGAGGATGAAATGGGATATTTGCACGTTTTTTAAGAATAAGGCCAGGAACACTATATAGACCTAAGTTACGAGAAGGGTTCAACGCCTGGAGACATGAGCCTAGCTAGATGAATACTGATGTCCTGTCGTTTTGGACAGTGAGACGATATATAGGATATGATATTATACGAGGCCATCTGGGCCTCTGGCTTGTGATGAATCGCATTCTCAGGTGTTATAGGCTTTTAATGAAATAAGTCTCACACATTTTGTTGATATATTCACTATGCTTGATGCTAAATTGTCTAGGGATAATAAAAATTATGTACTGACTTTCCTTATCTCTACTGATAATAGTCGGTAAATAGTGTCCAATTACTGTATAGTTAGTCTGACTGGTAATGTAGTCATCATGCTAATTAAAGTTCCAATGGATCAAGACATCCTCATGTGAAATATATAAGATAGGGCTTTGTGTCATGATGTTTTTGTTTAACAAATTCACGCATCCACTTTACAGTATTATCCTCTTTCCTGTTCCGAAAGAAGTTAAAAGCAAGTTTCTGTGGTTAAAGGAAACAAAATCAATACCTTCCTAGAGTTTTTTTGGGTATTCATACACAATTAATACAATACATGCAGAAACAACTGCTAAAGAGTAAATTTTGCAGAATGCTCTTATAACTAATTATTATTCCTTGGTAAAATGCACAGCTTCCCATATTCGGCTTCCTAGGCGGCCGAAGCATGTCAAATTTAAGCATCACGAGCTCACAATGCACTTAACGGCATGCATACAATTCCACAAATATGAAGATGGACTCCTACCCACAGTTACATTATTCTACTTATTTAGGTTATTTCCATCTTAATTACAACAGGAGAAGTTGTTACATTATACTTTTGCATTGCATTTCTCCTACAAGTCAATATTTTGACGTCTGCGATGTTAACGTTGCCGAAAAATTTCACTGTATTGAAAAGTGTAACATTGCCGCGGCTTTCTTCAATATCGAGTTACATCTAGCATGTCCAATGAAGATTTTGATGTCAATTTACTTGACCCTACAAATCATGAAGTTAGAGCGTCGAATTCATCGGACAACTTAGTACAAGTTTGTTACTTATGCTGATGCTCACTTGGATTACAGAAGCCTTCTGGTGTCATTGAAATTGGCTGTAGGTCGAAACATCAAGAAGGTGGCCTAAGTGATTCTGTCCCAACTGTCCGAGAACAGTTGTTGTTACAACTAGATGTTACTCGGGTAAGCCGAATAGAGCCTACCTATAGACAGTTCACATTTTGCCCTAATTTTTTAATAGTACTAAATAATGTCATTAAACTTTGTGTTCCTAGTCTGTGGCGCTTATTATAATGACTAATGAAGTTCAAAGCTGAGGTCTTCATCGTGTTTCCTAGTATTCTTTGTACTACTTCAGTCCTTATTAGCACAATACTTTTTGTAGATTTCAATTACTTTGGCTTTTACGATGTTTTGCCAGCTTTGTGCCACACTTATCACCGGCCATCACGAATTGATTGTGTTTTTTTATAGTTTTCAGAGGAATTAATTTAATGACAGAGTTTATCAACCATAATGGTGCTTTTTTAGGTTGTTGCTCTGCTGAGTTTGCCATTGTTGGAATTTTCCGTGTTGCCATTAATTTTCAGTTGAGGAATTTATAGACTCAGCGTTCTATTCCTATTTACCGTTATTACCTACTTCTAGAACAGCTGATTACCTCAGTCACTTTGCAGACAAAATAGTTTGGTTTGTTTTAAGTCAGTATTCATTAATGTGGAAGATAGGGTTTACGCTTATTGAATGCTGAGTGATTTTTTCTTTCTATACACATCTTTTCTGAGTAGTTAAATTTGATAATTGTTGTCTAAAGCTAGCTTGCTAGCAAAGTGTTAGAATGGATACGGAAAATGTGTTCCGTCAACTGGAGATTTCGACTTCCAGTCAATGGGTATAGGGCACCAGTCTCGCTACACCTACTCTAGAGGAACCAGGTAATATCTTTGGCTCTCACATTGGGTATGCCTCATAACTGAGCTCTAACCAACTAACAACACACAAGGTTGAACTTCATTTTTCAGCACTATCTGTATCCTGCCAACTAAAAGTTAAGACAGGCTATGCAGATATGCGTTTTATTTCCGTATACGGTTAAGCGCGAAACTGCTGAGTTAAAACAGATTAACTTAGCCACAGTTATTTAGTTGCAGGTATCTCCGAGGTGTTAACTACGACCAACTGGATAAGTTAAGGTAGTGGGACGCTGAGGGAAACAAAAAACATGCTATATATATGTCACGGAATCCTTAAAAATGATTTTGATATAGATGCTACAATTACTTTTAAAGTACACTTTGTGTCTGCTTTTCCTCCTAATTGAGTAAAGCTGTAATAATGTTGTCCACAAATTTTGGGTTGACAGTCAGTAACACCACTGAACAGTCTATCGATGTAAATAGCTCTTCCTTTTAATAAACTGTTCATTTGTCTCATATTTACTGAATTATATTTATTTTCAGGCTCGTCTTGTCAAGAACTATGGTTTCCTTCCTATGAGCCTTTACTGTCGTATGCGCATCGGGGATGCGAGATTTGAAACTAAAACCGCATCAGCGTCTGGGAAACATCCTATTTGGAATGAAACATTCTGGTGGTAAGTTGTCATTATTATTATCCATAATGGAGTCATTATTCTAAATGTTAGACGCAGTTAATCCAAGTATCCATAAATGAGCTTAATTTACTTCAATCTTATTGTTTTATTTATTATTATTTATTGTTTCCTTGGTTTCCTAGTGGAACATAGGGCTTCAACTGCACGTCTCCACTTGCTTCTGTCTTCTGTTGTACTTTTCACTTGTATCCATGTTTGTCCATACTGTTTCAACTCCTCTTCACACGATCTCCTCCATGTCACCCTTGGACGTCCCACTCGCCGCTTCCCTTTCGGGTTCCACTCGAGGGCCTGACGCACGATGTCACGCAGCAGCCTCCTCAGCGAGTGTCCAATCCATCTCCACTTTCTCCTGCATATTTGTTGAGCGATTGGTTCCTGATTTGTTTGTTCCCATAGCTTCTTGTTTTTGATTCTTTCCGGCCATCTAATCTTCAGTATAGAACGAAGACAGTTGTTGATAAAGGTCTGCAACCTGTTGGAAATGTTCTTTGTGACCCGCCAAGTTTCTGATCCGTATAGAAGAACTGACTTGACGTTTGTATTGAAAATCCGAATTTTGTTGTTTATGCTGAGTGACGAAGATTTCCAGATTGGTTTCAGGTTGATGAATGTGTGTCTCGCCTTCTCGATTCTCGATTTGACATCCTCGTCCGTTCCTCCTGTAGTTGAGACAATGTTCCCTAGATAAGTGAGTGAAGTAACCTCTTTCAAATCCCTCCCGTTGATGGTGATTGGCGCTGGATGTTGCTGTTGTTGTTGTTGTTGGTTGGTTATTTTCATAACCTCCGTCTTGTCTATGTTTACCTGGAGTCCTGTCTTTGCTGTTTCTTCGACCAGTTTGTCAGTTTTCGCCTGTAAGTCTTCGATTTTGTGTGACATCAAACATAAGTCATCCGCGAAATCCAGGTCTTCTAGGTTCTTCACGTCGGTCCAGGATATCCCTGTCTTCTCATTTCCCACTGTCTGACGCATAATCCAGTCCACCACAACTAGGAATATCATTGGTGATAATAAGCACCCTTGTCTGACTCCTGTGTTTACTCCAAACGCCTCGCTGAGTTCCCCGCTGTGGATCACTTGACATGTGCCATTGTCGTACAGCTGTTGAATAAGGTTGATGAATATTTGGCTGTCTGTCTGTCTGGATTCAACATAGAACTTGGCACCGAAGTGCAGACAAGAAAATGAGTGAAGAGAATCAATAGAATTTTGACAAGTATAAGAGTGAAACAGAAATACAAAGGAATATGAAAGATTAGAGAGACTGAATACATCTGCGCCATTGACAACGATTTTGAGCCATGTCACCTATTGTCTCCAGCCATTGATTCTTAGAGTCCCGAGGACCCCAACCCGGAAGTCTGCATCTCCCTACCTGACTCACTTTAACTGTCAGGGATTTCATGGATTGATGCCATGTTTTTGTTTGGCCACCACTTACTCTTTTCCAACCTGCGCCTATATCAGGTAGTAATGCCCGTCGGGGGAGGCGATGGTTAGGCATGCGCAGCACGTGACCTAGCCATCTCAATCTATGTAACTTTATAGCGAATGAATATGTGGGTACGCCGTAGTACTCGAGTAGTTTCCAAATTACTTCGCGGTCAACGCTGTCGAAGGCCTTCTCAAAGTCTATAAAGTTGAGATAGAGGTTTGATTGCCATTCCATGCTTTGTTCGATGATGATGCGTAGAGTTACAATTTGGTCAGAACATGATTTGCCTTTCCTGAATCCAGCTTGTTCTGGTCGGAATTCTGTATCCATTGCGTCCTTTATTCTCTCCAGGATGCTGCAACTCACAATTTTACTTGGCGTCGACAGAAGCACGATTCCTCACCAGTTTTTGCAGAGTCCTAAGTCGCCTTTCTTTATTAGTTTCACAAGGTAACCTTTCCTCCAGTCAGTAGGCACCTTTCCCTCCTTCCAGACCTTTCGCAATAATGGAGTCAGCATATCTGCTGTCGTCTCTGGGTCCGCTTTCAGTGCTTCAGGAGATATTCCATCTGGTCCAGCTGCTTTTCCAGCTTTCAGAAGCTTGATTGCATTCAAGAATTCAGCTTTTGTTGGAGGATTGGTGTCAACTTGCAGTTGTGTACGCTCTGTTGTTGGTATTTCTGGACGGGTTGCGGGTAGTGGTCGGTTCAAGAGTCCTTCGAAGTGGTCCGCCCATTGTTTAATCTGTCTTTCTTCCTTGGTAATTGGGTTCCCTTGGCTGCCTTTTATAGGTTTCATTTGTGTTGATCGCTTCCCGGATAGAGACTTGGTTATCTGATATAATGTCCTCAGGTCTCTTTTGCCTGCTGCCTTCTCAGCTTCAGTGGCCAGACTGTCGTAGAATTGTCTTTTGTCCTTCCTAGCACTCTTCTTCACTTCTTTGTCCAGTGCTGTGTAAGTTGAACTCAGCGTCTCCTTCTCTTGTCCGTCTTTGCATTGGATGATTTTCTCTTTCACCATTCTCCTCTCCTCTATTAGGTTCCAAGTGTCCGTTGAGAGCCATTCCTTGTCTTGTCTCTTCTTTCTTCCTAAAACTGTTGAACACGTTTCGTTGAAAATCACCTTCAGAGAGTTCCAGTGGTCTTCCACGCATGATTCCTCAGTGATGCCACGTAGTGTTTCCTGCTTTGCTCTGACAGTTGCGGTGAAAGTGTCCTTTGTGGTTGTGTCCTTCGGGTTTTGAGTGTTAAACTTGCATTATGGGCTATCCCCAGCTATCCTCGGGGCTTTTAGCTTCACCATGAAAGTCCCTTGTACTAGATAGTGGTCTGAACCCACATCTGCTCCTCTCCTCGATCTTGCGTCCAGTAGGCTCCGTCTCCACTTCCTTGAGATTGAAATGAAGTCTATCTGGTTTTTGGTGTGTCCATCTGGTGAAATCCATATCGCCTTGTGTATATCCCTGTGTTTGAACACACTGCCACCAAACACCAAATCATTGAAGGTGCAGAAGTCTGAGAAGAGTTCACCGTTGTCGTTCATTTTACCGAGGGCCTCACGACCCATGGTGAGTTCTCTTCCTGCATTGTCTCCTCCCAGTTTCGCATTCATGTCACCCATCAGGATTTTGATATCGCTTTTTGGGACGTTGTCCATTACTGTTTGTAGTTGTCTGTAGAAATCATCCTTCTTCTCTTGTTCTGAGACGTTTGTAGGCGCATAGCATTGAATGATTGTGACCTTTTTTCCTTTTGAGTTGAACCTGGCTGTCATTATCCTGGAGGAGATTGGTTCCCACTGCATGAGAGCCTTAGCCGCTATTGGTGACATCATGATGGCTACTCCCTCGGTGTGCTCGTGGTTGTCCTCTGGGTGACCGGAATAGATTACTGTCTCTCCAGTTGATAGTTGGCACCTTCCACATCCGTTCCATCTGCTCTCGCAGATTCCCAACACTTCTATTCTATATCTTCTCATTTCTGCGGCTACCTGGGTAGCCTTTCCAGCTTCGTACATTGTACGAACATTCCACGTCCCCATCCTTATTTTCGCTTTCATCGAAAGAAGGCACATCGGCTGACTGGCTTCCCGAAGGCTTTCACCAGCCTGCGTCATTTCACTTCCCCGATTCCAGCGAAAAAAGGTTATTGTTTATATTTTTAGTATTTTTAGTATATTTATGCGTTGAAGTTTCTGTAGCGATTTGGTTGAGTTTTGGAGGTGGAGTTGCTAGCACCACGCCCCAAACCTCCCTCTTTATCCGGTGTGTCTGTCTGTCAATCTGGATTCAACATAGAACTTGGCACCGAAGTGCAGCAGTTCAAGTTGCCACGTTCCAAAGAGCCCACAAACGTAGACAAGAAAATGAGTGAAGAGAATCAATAGAGTTTTGACAAGTATAAGAGTGAAACAGAAATACAAAGGAATACAAACAAAGGAATATGAAAGATTAGAGAGACTGAATACATCTGCGCCATTGACAACGATTTTGAGCCATGTCACCTATTGTCTCCAGCCATTGATTCTTAGAGTCCCGAGGACCCCAACCCGGAAGTCTGCATCTCCCTACCTGACTCACTTTAACTGTCAGGGATTTCATGGATTGATGCCATGTTTTTGTTTGGCCACCACTTACTCTTTTCCAACCTGCGCCTATATCAGGTAGTAATGCCCGTCGGGGGAGGCGATGGTTAGGCATGCGCAGCACGTGACCTAGCCATCTCAATCTATCTAACTTTATAGCCTCGTTGATTGATTTTCTTTATCGGGGCTTGGGACCGGCTAGAGCACTAGCGAGCTGGTAATCTAGGCAAGGTTGCTAGTTGGTATAATTAGAGGTGTAACCTATACGACTGCGTATGCGTACTACCGTCCTCTATATGCGCTGTTCAAAAGTGAATAGAATCAATACGCCTTACTGATTCAAGCCCTGAAGCACCAAGAAATGCGCCACGGTCAGTATTTTGACCCCACATTTAGTGAATATTAATAAGTGTGGATGCCGATATAAAAAACCTGTAATATATGAAAATGTCATTGTTCCCGGATGATATCACTTAATGAGAGATATTATGTAGCTTTTAAGAAAATCCTGTATCAGACCTCGAGGTAACCTTGCAATCAACAGCGATAATCAAATAGTCATTAGGCACCCTCAGCTCAGATAGGCTAGGTGTCACGGGCAGCGGTTGCTTGTCTGAAATAAATGCTAAGAGATAATTACTTTTGTTTCATCAGTATGGGACACCACCATAGATACATCATTCACTTTTTGGATTGCCGTAACATCTCTAATTGAACATTAAAATCACCTATTAGGATAAATTTGTCTGAATGCGTATCGTTTCTCAGCAAAATTAACAGCCATGCTCCTCCAGGATGAAATAAGTTAATATTTCCTTTATGGAAAATTTGTTCATATTGGAACTTCGTGCATAAGTGTAGTGATCTAGTCTATGCATATTTAGCTTTCTTGTAATGTAAGTCTATTCCAGCCAAAATAACGCATTCTCATCAACTGTGATTGGTCTATAATTATCTATTTCAATTAATCTATAGTGTGGTTCCACCATGACTTCTTTTTATTCATTTCGTTTTTATATGTTTGTAATAGCAATTGCACTATGAATAATTATTTGTCTTATCTCTTGTTCTTTCACATCAGTTGGTTGTATGATGGCATTGATAGATTAACTTTAGAAATTGTTTCAGAAAATGTCATGTTTGCAGACTCACCAGTAGCACACGCTGTGATAATTTTCCCTCGATCATTATTCGATGGTATCCCGTTGAATCAGTGGTATGAACTAAGTGGGAAACAAGGAGAAAATCTTGAAGGTTCTATTAACTTAATTTTCCAATGTCGAGTAAGTGCATTTTTATTTTACATACTTAGAAATATGTTCACTATCCTCCCTATAGATCATCAACTTATTTTGTAATGGTTAGGGATGCATATAGCCCCTTGCAATTGTCAAATGACTCGATCTCTTTTGGTTTATATAATCTGCTATCAACATAGATTAAGTACAACTAATAATACAACTAACAGCAGAGTACCAGATATGAATTTAGTAGTCAGGTGACGTCGCAATTTTTTAAAACTATGTTAAACAAAGAAGTGAAAAAGATAGAAAGTCGTAGTTCACTCGCGTATTACATTTTCTTTTTTTACCATCCACATTAGTACTAACTTAAAACAGTAACTTCTTTCAATGGGATTTGAACAGCAGTACTTGAAGACGAAGTTGATATAAAAAATCAGTTACTTTGAGAGAATTATAATTCAAGTATTGGTTTGTAGGGATTTGATTGGTTAGTTACAGGATTTCATCATGAGATGATATCGGTTAGAGAACGCTTGGGAAACCTGGGAGTGTTGGAGATCTGTTTCGTCCCAGTTTTGGACTCTTCATAAGTATGCACCCACCGGGGTTCCAACCGAGGACCTTCTAGTTACAAGGTTAGCTCGTAGACCATTAAGCCACTGGGACCTGATTATAATTGACATTCTATTGCTTTATTTTCACATAAATTGATTTTAAAAGTAGATGTGTTATCAGATTGTACAAAATGTGTTTTGCAGCTACCTCACATTTTCTGATAGCAACGTGAGAAACCTCTTTGTTGATGTATGTAGACTCATTAAATTGATGCATCCTCCAACGTCGATATATTAGGAACCTAGTGAAGTTTTATTTGTAACTGCTTTTCTGCTATCTGGGTGTGCGTAGCACGCGTATTACACATCATTATCAATAATGCCAATCTGAACGGAACCTTCTCGACTTGATGAAATTCACTAACAATTAATTGTTTTTTGTTACTCTGGGACACTCAGTCAAATGAAAAGTAACTTGTAATTAAGACACTGTCAACGACAGGTTTATATATATATAATATAATATATTTATTATATATATATATATATATATATATATATATATATATATATATATATATATATATATGAAAAAACAAAACTTAGTTCAGCGTAGAGGATCTTTTCGGTGAATTCATTTTCTGTACAGTCGCTTTTATAGACAGTTTCTTCCTTGAAAGGGAATAGTTGCAAAAGTGGAGTTATGATCATAGTTAGTGATATTAATTAATACATGAGAAGGATTATATGGGGGTTATTTTGTTAGTTACATGATTTAATGAATGAATTGTAACTAGGCCTTTCATAGAAACAAGGGGAATGTCATATTGCTTAAAAGTTCGAATGAAATACATAGAGTTGCAAAACAAACAAATAAAGATCAAGTTGTTAGAAAACAGTAAGGTTGTTACTATGATAGTAGAAGTGGTCGGTTGATTCTGTTTTTTATATAGTGCTCAGGTTTATTTATTTGAGTCATTAGAGCTTCAACAATTTAGAGAAGATGAAAGAGTTTCGTCTTTGTCCTAACTTTGTAGATTACTTTGAAGGAAAAGTTTGTTCAAATGGAATGACCAGTGTTGGTGAGGTGTTCAATTATCGCGTTCCTTATAGAGCCACTGCAACCTTTCTGCAACCATACCATTAATGTCTACCTAAACAGTATTTTACACAAGTAGATATTCAAATATGAACTCCTAAATGCCTATATCGTACACATAGCTTTAGTTTTCTTCTTGAAATAAAATCCCTTAAATTAGAAGGTAAAATACCGCCTTTTTTCTTTTTTAGAAAGTTCCAAAGAATGCTCCAGTTCTACAACCCACTCCATTGTGTAGGTCGATATGATTTTCTTTACTTGTTTGATTACTGACAGCCTACATGAACGGATATCAGAATCCTCATCAGTTGAGTAGATAAGCTTGACGCCGGTCTCCATTACTAATCTGGTAACTGTTCTTTAACTGTGTTGTGTGCTTTATACCACCTATTTTGGTCTGACTGACAGTCCAACGGCATTATAAACGTAGCTTATAAGCCTCTACCTGATGGCATTAATTGGTTGAAACTTTATGCCAGTTACCGAGTTACCTATACTTCAGTCTTACAGTGGATAATTTATGTATGCAATTTACAAATCGTATTTTCCCGTATAAAGGAATTTTATTTTCTTACAATCACAGTGAAAGTTAAATACCACTGATGTCTAACCAGGTGAATTGTCATAGCCTTATACATGCCTGGACTTCGCGGTAGGGAAAAATCTATTATTATTATTATTACTTTCTTGTGTTCTGACTGAGACATGAGGCTTCAGCAACGTAACCTCCGCACTCCTATAGCCGGCCCACGATTTCTCATCAGCTTTCATTTCCCCCACACACAATCTTCTCCACGTCACCCTCGGACGCCCAACTCGCTTTCTCCCGTTCAGGTTCCATTAGGGAGCTTGGTGCGTGATGCCACTTAACAGTTTCCTCAGAGGACGTTCGATCTATCGACATTTCCTTCAGCATATTTGTCAGTTGATACAATTGTAGTTAGTTCTCTGTCAACTAGAGTTCCTAGTTGCTTGTTCTTTCTGACCGGTGAAAGTCTGTAGCAGGCTATTAGATATGCAGTTGGTGACGCATTCGCCAAGAGTTTGAACCATGTAGGAGCAGCAACTTGACACTAGTGTTGAAGATCCAGACATCGTTCTGTTTGCTAAGTGTGGTAGGTTTCCACATTAATTTCAGAGCAATAAAGGTTTGTCTTGGTTTTCCGATGCTACCTGGCTTTCAAGTAGTCATCTGTGCTACCAGTTGTTGAAATGAAGCTACCTAGATAAATGAAAGAGGTGACTTCTTTTAGATTTCTCCTTTTGGTGGTAATTGATGCTTGTTGTTGTTATTTAGGTATCTTCATCACCTCTATTTGAAGAGATACTCGGGATGAATTGACTGTTTTAATTTGTTGAAGGATAATATACCTTGCCAATGATTTTCCTGATTGCAGTAGACTGGATAATGCGACAAACAGCGGGCAATGAGGAAACAGGCATAAAATGGACTCACACAAAGAACTTGGAGGATCTGGACTTCGCCGATGATATATGCCTGATTTCCCACAAACTGGAAGATATGCAAGTGAAAAGTAACAAGTTGGCAGAAGAAGCATCAAAGATAGGACTCCAGGTGAACATAGAAAAAACAGAGGTGATGAAGATCCCTGGCCAACACCAACAACAACAACAGACAGCAATCAGCATAAATGGAAAAAACCTGAAAGAAACTACCTCCTTCACCTACTTGGGAAGCATTGTTTCAACTACAGGCGGAACTGACGAGGATATCAAAGCAAGGATCGGGAAAGCAAGGCAAGCTTTCATTACTCTCAAGTCTGTGTGGAGGACAACATCATTCAGCGTCAAAAATAAGATCGGGATTTTCAACTCCAATGTGAAGTCAGTACTACTATACGGATCAGAGACTTGGCGTGTCACAAAGAGCATCTCAAACAAGCTACAGACCTTCATTAACAGATGTCTTCGCTCAATACTCAAGATCAGATGGCCGGAAAGGATCAGCAACAAAGATCTCTGGGAGCGAACCAACCAGGAACCAATTGTGAAACAAATAGGCAGGAAAAAATGGAGATGGATTGGCCACACTCTGAGGAAACCAGCAAGTGACATCACTAGACAAGCCCTCGAGTGGAACCCGAAAGGGAAGCGGCGAGTTGGTCGTCCAAGGGTGACCTGGAGGAGATCATGTGAAGAGGAGATGAAAGCATGTGGGCAGACCTGGAGCCAGGTGAAAACTCTAGCAGAGAATCGAACGCAATGGAGACGCATGGCTGAAGCCCTATGTTCCTCTAGGAACTAAAGGAAATAATAATAATAATATACCTAAATCCAACATATATTAAGAGGATTATGGTTATCGTTATGGACCTAATTGTAACAATAGTTTTTCATAGAACCTACAGCGACATTAATTGCTGGTATATTCACCAATCCTTACTAAGGCTTCATATAATTCTTCCCAATGACAAATTTGAACAAAGCAAAAACAGCAAATGTACCAGGATAACATGAGCTCATTTTCTAATATTTGGAGGATTCTTCTCAACTAGCTACAATCTGAACAATACAAAAATATAAAATATGTTAGAAATTTGAGCATACTTCTTCCACGATGACTAGGAGTAATTGATAGGAACTAAGAGTAACATTAGTCCAGAATGACGTAAGTTTTTAAATAATTAAGAGCTGCAAGGACTGAATATTTATAAGGAAATTGTATGAGTATACTTGGAAACAAAAGGACGAAGTTCAACAGACTTTTGTTGTTAGAAATAAAGTTCAACTGGGAACGGTACAGTCGACGAGCGGTTAAGAAGTCAGCCTGCTAAATTTGGGCTACGGATATCACATGCTGAAAATTCTATACTTGTATCAAAAATACTGTGTGGAGTCAAGCTATAATAAAATATAAAAAATAAAATATAAATAATAGGTTACGCAACCACAGGAAATATGGTTTTGTAAAATAGCCAAAACACCAGTCAGCATTACTCTGGCACGTTCATATAAATTGGTAGACATAGTTGGAGGTAACATGAGGTGGCAGTCTGTCCACTTTTGACTGTCTTAAACAACTGGTCGTTTGATACACAAAAGTTTAGCGGCTGGATATGTTCTTTTCAGGGCAGCGTTCAGTCTATATCTTGTCCTACTAACAGTATCATCACCTTTGAAGACAAGCCGTGGAAAGATGGACTTTTATCTACTGTGCTATAATTCACTTTGTCAACACTACGTTTTCCATGTTTATCGATTAATTTCTGTGAGTAACCATAATCATGCAGGCATTGTTCCACAATGGGTAGTTCTGAGCATAGCTTTCTTACACGACCGGACAATGTAACTTATAAGACAGAAGCTTTTGAAGTTCAGATAAATTATCCTTCAGGTCTCTTTTCTGTGGATGTACCTTACGATTTCACCGTATATATTACGTTGAATACCAAGGTCAAGAAAATAAAACTTGTTCTCATTTTCAAACTCCATTGAGCACTATTCTGGACGTTTATCATTTAACATGCATCAATTACACAGTCGCGAATAACGAACGTGTCATCGACATATCTGGCACAGAGAAGTCTGTCTGAGTAGCAGTGAACTTCATTCTTGTTCGTTCCCGATTGCTCATAAAAATATCTATGAGAATCGGACCCAGCAGACTTCCCATGGCGACTCCAACAATCTGACACTGAAAAACATTGTTAAACTGAAACTGTGATTGGTAAATATTAGTAGCAGATGTTTCAGTTCGTTATTTAGTAGAGGAACAAGGTCAGTATGTTGACATATGATTTGTTTTGTTTCTTCTAGTGGGATCTGCGTAAAAAGTCAAGACATATCTAACCACACCATGAATTTATTCGAAATGCTCAAATTCTGTTTACGGAATTGAAAAGTGTCTTTTAAGCTGTAGGTAGCTAACTTGGCACGGATTGCTTCCAACAGTTCTGGTAACCATCGAGCTACTTTGTTATACGGTAAATTAACCACGAACAGTATTGGTCTTATGGGACCGTTGGGTTAATGCACTTTTGGTAAACCATATAAGTAAGGTAATCTGGATCCTCTGGGCTTCAGTTTATTATATACGTTATTGTCAATCAGCTTCTTCAAAAGTTCGCTTAATTTCTTGGTAATCCGTCTTTCCATTGATTCAGTTAGATCTTTTTTCGAATGATCAATTCGAAATATCGATGCGTCACTCAGAACTAATTTGACTTTCTGTACATAATTATCTTTGTCTATTATCTCAACACCTGGTTCTTTGTCAAGTCGGAGAATGACAATAGACTCATTGTGAGTTGAGTTTCTTAGTGCTTTTTAGTGATTTATCGACAGAACTGCACATTTGGGTTTTGGTGATCTTGTATATTTATTAGCAAATCAACAAGCCAAGATTTAATTTAACCTTGTTTCTCTTCATCCACTGGTTTTAATTTAGACAGTTAATGATACAAGCCTTCCAACTGGGTTTCAACGTCAATTTTTTTGATAAATTTCGTCGAAATGTGGATTTTGAAAACTAGTGAAAGTGCTTCTGCTTCTGTCTGACTCATCTTATAACTTCATAATTAAACACGCATTTTTCAGGGTTCTCCGGAATACCTTCACATAATGTTCCCTTAACCAGACCAAGTTTTGACCAAGTTTTCCTTAATTTTATGCTTGTTTTGGTCTGTACCTCTCGAATAAAACTGATAAGCTTGATTCTGCAGACTACGTTCAAATCATTCGCAATACCTTTACCTTACTAAATAGAGTGTAATATATAATTTTGGAATTAGCAGTCGCTGCGCTGTGATAATAAAATTTGTCTTTAAATATAAAGAAGATTGCTGAGTCCTTATTTAGGGAAGAAATAGCGAAACGAGTTTCTGAGGTCGACAGCAGGACTTCCCCCGAGGCAGCCTGGCACAACATACAGTTAGCTGTAGACACAGCTGTAAAAGCTGTTAATAAGCTAAAACCTAAAGTCAGTAAAAGCCATTGGACCTCTACCGCCTCATCCGAACTGATTGATGCAAGAAGAATGATTTCAGCGAGCTCCGATTATGATGAGGAGCGAAAGGTACTTAAACGAAGACTAAAAAAGTCTTCGCAACGACCGTGAACAGTGGTGGGCGACAAAAGCGAAAGAGATGGAAAAGGCATCGGCGATTGGCAACACTAGACAACTATTCAGGCTTATCAGGGAAACAGGTGGCAAAAGGCAAATGATAAGCGAAACAATCTCGGGGAAAAATGGCACCATAATTAGCTCCGAGGATAGACGACTGAAACGCTGGAGGAACACTTTGAGGAGCAGTTTAATTGGCCTACAGCCACACTTAACCTGCCGAACATCCAACACCTCCCCGAATGGGATATAGACACAGGTCCTCCTTCCTTAACTGAGGTTACTTAAGTTGTCACTAATCTGAAGCAACGCAAAGCAGCAGGACCTGATGGAATGACTCCAGAGGTATTTAAGTACGGTCGAGACAGTTTACTGTCTGCCCGTCGGGTTGGTGTAAGTCATTGATTATCCCCATATACAAGAAGGGAGACAAGTCTTCTTGTGATAATCACAGGGGGATTAGGTTGACTAATATAGTATCTAAAATCCTAGGCTCAATAATCATGCGTAGACTATGTGGTGCTTGGGAGGCACAAACACGAGAAAACCTGGCAGGCTTCAGATCAGGAAGAGGGTGTATTGATCATATCTTCACCCTCTGACAGATTCTAGAACATAGGCATTCTTACCGGCGTCCAACAGTCGTTATATTTCTTGACCTACAGGCGGCATTCGATTCTGTCGACCGAGAGGTTCTCTGGCGATGCTTGGCTGTAAAGGGAATCCCGAGAAAATACATTGCACTGATTAAGGCACTCTACGCGTACTCATGCAGCCAGGTGAGGGCTTACGGCGAGTTGTCATCTGAAGTGGTGACGACTAGTGGCGTCCGTCAAGGATGCCCATTATCCCCATTTCTATTCAACTTCATCATAGATGTACTAATGCACTTAACCCTGACTCACTTCAGCGACTGAGGGATTGACTTGCTACCAGGGAATAATCTCGTTGACTTAGAATATGCAGATGATATAGTCCTCCCTCTTAGGTGAAGACGCTGATAAAATGCAGAGTCTTCTGAACACCTTGAGCAGCGAACTGTCTTCGAATGGTCATCATGCGATTCGCTGCCGCCAAATGCAAAATGATGTTACAGGATTGGACTACACCGACTCCTAGATTAGAAATAGGAAGTGAAGTGGTAGAGCACGTTGACCGCTTCACTTATTTGGGAAGTACCATCAGCCCCAACGGGTTGATCTCTGACGAAATCTCAGCATGGATGCAAAAGGTTTGTATTGCATTTACCAACTTGCATCATCTCTAGAGTAGATGTGATATCTGGCTATTGACTAAAGGGCGTGTATGCTGCTCAGCAGTCCACTGCGTCCTCCTCTATGGCTGTGAGACGTGGCCATTGAGAATGGAAGACATGAAAAGATTTGCTGTTTTCGATCATAGGTGTCTGCGTTCTAACTCCCGCGTGAAGTGGTATAATAAAGTGAGCAATAATGTGGTTAGGCGTCGAGTGCTAGGTAGGAAGGGGAAATCAGTCGACGATGTTGTGAAGTTACATCGACTGAGATGGTTAGGACATGTGCTACGTATGCCTAGTCATCGCCTTCCTCGACTGGCAATGTTAGCTGATATAGGGTCAGGCTGGAAAAGAGCCAGCGGTGGTCAAACGAAAACATGGCACCAGTCAATGAAATCTACAACAGTTAGTTTAAGCCACGTAGGAAGGTGTAGACTGGCTTCCTGGTTGGGGTCCTCGGGACGGTGAAAACCAATGAAGGTTGGAAACAATTGGTGACATGGCTCAAAATCGTTCTCAATGGCTAGCGCAGATGCATCCACTCCTTGTGACTTATGATTTCCAATGAAACTGTTTTGTTCTTCGTTATTACTATACCTTTGTCTCATACGTCTGTTTACTGTTTCTATTATGCGTTTCTCCTACTTTCTTCTCTTGCTTTGTGTGCTACATGGAGTGTGGCGACTTGAACTGCCGCACATATGTGCAAAGTTCTATGTCGAAAACCGATCGATCGAGTCTAGAAAGTAGACTTCTGTTCAGTGAAACTATTTAATCGTTTTAAAACAGACAAATGGATACTGTTAGAACAATGTAACAATGTAAAACATTGTCAAAACGCGTTGGTTTGAGTTTATACACTTCAAAACAGAGTAAGAAGTAAGTCTTATGTAAACTAAATGAATTTCAGTTGTGATTTTGAATTCCTGGTAGAAAGTGGCCTAAACATTTCCAAATTGTTTTGATCGGTTTTACGCTGTACCACCGAAAGCTGCCTCCGCCCATTAACATTCGACATCTGAAGGACGCCCATCTAAAATCCTACACAACTTATATTGGGAGTTATGAATTTTATGAAATAGCATCAAATGATTAGTCTTAGTTTTGTTTGGAGTTCAGTGTACTGTCTGTGTTGATATTACATAGAAAGGTCAATGATAGCTCGACCAATATAATACTAAATAAGATGTAACATACTCTCTTTTTACAATTGTATACGTTTATCACTGTCACTTCAAAATAGCACACTTATTGCTACTAGCAACTGTCTGTGTCATATCTCAAATATACCTTTATTTCAGACTGCCAACCTGGATTTGGTCATATAGGTGATATGAGAGTGTTGCCTAAACCAATATCATCTGAAGATATTCAAGCAGTACGGGAAATTTTCCCCTCTGTAGAAGATGATACAATTCGATCTCTTTTGGTAACCCATCATGGGAATCGAGAATTGGTTATCAGTGAATTACTTCGTATGACAAATGAAACATAAAGTGGAGATTATTGTGGCATAACTATTATTATTTGGAAGATTCTAATTTTTGTTTTTCGTTGTTGCTTATATTTCAGCTAAAAAGTTGAATCGTTCTAAATGAACGATACTTTATACTATGTCTATACTATTTCATATTACCTAATATGGTATATTTTTCCAGAGTATTTTATGGCTATGTATTCTCTATTACTTGTGCGCTAATTACCTGTTATCAAAACTATTTCTGTATCGCAGTGATTGTCATTTTAATTTTACACACATACATACAACTTATCTAACAATAACTTAATTACTCATTTATCGGTTTTTTCTCTCTTTTCATATGTTGTTTTCACTTATCACATACATACTCAGGCCTATCATCATATCATTTCGTTTGAATACAATTCTGTTTGACAGTTTTACTTTCATAACAAAAGAAACCAAGCAATGTATTCTTGTTCATTTCGTATGTCTTAGCGAAATGAAGAAGATTGTTATCATCAACTGTTATTTCAGATGTCATTTCGTCCGTTACCTTCCAGTATACCTGAAAATATGTGTAATTTAGTAAAACTCTATGAATAACTTTGATTCTCTATTGTTATTTTGTGTGCTTGTGGGACAATATTGAATTTCTTTTTTTACATTGTAATGATCATATGTACTTATTATTTACTATGCAAACATGTGTCAATTTATTATCACTATGTTTATAAGTCATACTACCAGCACTATCATGAGTAATTGTGATTATAGTTCATCTGGATATTGTGCGTTTATTGAGTGAAAGATATCCAGGTCTAAGCAGTCGATCCGTATTCAGTCACGTACTCAAACTACTGTACCAAGCAAGGTATAAGCAAATAAATGGTGTATTTCTTACTCGTCAAATATATAGTAAGCACACTTAGTTGCTGAGCTTCATTATTATATAATAATGACTTCACTTTGTGGTATGCATAATGTTAACTATTTGGAGACAGTTAACAAGAAAATCGTATCGAAAGCTGCTCTGGCGTGGTGGTTAGGTTAGCATATCTCAGTAACTTAATGAGCTATGCTGGTTGGGGCGAGTATTCTTATAGGTTTTGCCATTCTCTAAAAGTCAGTTGAGTAGCTGTTAAACAAAAAATTGGTTGCCGCCATAGAGTAAGTTGCTTGTACTATGGTAGGAATCTGAGGATGAATTAACACTGCTGGCTGATCAGGGTATAGTGAGATGCAGGTGTTTCCCTCCAGTATGTCAGCAGTGCTAATATTTCACGTTGGGGAAGGCGTTTGAATACATTAACTTTAAAGATTGTACTTCTCGACTTTATCAAAGGCAATAAGGTATCTCTCTTCATTAACTCCACTTCCAGACAGGTCATGTGAGACTGACTTTGAGCTGCTCTCCTGTTAACTAATCACGCAATACTACTTCCCTTCGAAGTATAGATCAACTTGCATCTAGTGGGTGGCGGGAAGGCAATGACCTCTCACAGACTTTTATTAACAGATGAAGTTCTATTCATTACCCATCTTCACTTTTCTTTCCTCCAATTGCTGATATTTTTCTTCGGCATCCTATTCAGCTTTTAAAACAGTGACTATTGTCAGCTACTTAAGCCACAGGAATATTATTCACAGCCTACCAAGATCATTCTGCCAACTTCGTATACTATAGTTCAACGTACAAACCTTCACTAGCCAAAAATGTGGTATGTTTTTGCTTAATTTTCTGGACAGGCCATTTGACTTACAGTATCTAGCGAAGGCAGCTAATGGTGAAAATATGCAGACTATTGAAAATGCTTTCGGTAGTGCACGCACCAGGCGTTGAAACATTTAGAAGCAATAATTTCACATCAAATATGGGAATCCATATCTTGTCCTTAATGCTGAGTGGTGTAGATCTCCACACTGATTTCAAAGTAATGAACTCCTGCTTTCCCCATCCTTTCTTGTCCATCTATAACATTTTTATCCGTGCCGTCTGTATTTGAGATGATACCGCCTAAGATGTGACTTCTTTTAGTTTTCTCCTATTTATCCTATTTGGCGCTTGTTGTTGGTTGTCAGGTATCTCCATCACCCCTGCCTTATCTGGATTATAAGAAGTGAAGTCTTCGCCACCTCTTCTGCCAGCTTGTTGATTTTCGCTTATGAATCTTAGAGTTTGTCAGACAGGAAGCGTAACTCATCCAAGGAATCTAGAACTTCTAGGGTCTTATGGTCTGTCCGAAGTATGCACAGTCCAGTCCACCGCAATCAGAAAGATGACTGGTGGTCAGTCTTGCACTTGTCTATACTTCGAGAACTTCGGTGACCTTTTCTCTGTGAGTATAACATCATCATTTAGCTGTAGAATGGGGTTTATCAATGTTGACAGCCGTCCAGTTTATAATGCTGAATCAGTTGTCAAATTACTTTATATTTTATGTAGTGAAATAATCTTGAAGTGTATTCACAGGAGAATGTGTTTGACTATAGTGGTACTGAAGACCCTAGGACCCATAGTCAGGCAAAGACTATGTCAGGAGTTTATGAATACCGGAAAAGATTTAGGCTCCGACAACAGTACACTCAGCATATCTTCATCCTTTAACATGTCCTAGACCACACTTGGCATATTTCTTGGCCTAAAGGCGATATTTGACTCCGTCGATTGAGAGATGCCATAGAAGTGCCGAGGAAGTACATCATTCTGTTTCAGCCCTAACTAACTGATTGCTGACGAATTTTCAGGACGGACACGGAAAGTATATTCGACATTTACCAGTTCATATTATCTTTGGCGCTGCTGTGTTAACTTGGTTTTTAAAAAGGTGTACTCACTACGCAGCAATCTATTTATGCCTACTTTACTGCCGAGACATCTGTGTTGAAAGTAGATAACAAAAAACTGCAGCTCTTGCAGTATACTTGTTTTCAATAGATTGTCCATGTTCCGCATAGTAATTACAGAATCATAGATACTATGTTTGTCAAGTTGATGTGGTTGTGTTCTCTGAGCTGGATAGTTAATTTGCGAAGCTTTCACCACCCTACTAGGTGACATCTTCAGCGCATACTTCAATTTGAAGTGTCAAGTTGATGTGTTAAACGGATCGGCATATTTAGCAACGACGAGTGTTTATGGTGTATGATGTTTGGTAAAGGAGGGGAAGTCAGTTGATTAGGTAGTGAATCTTCACCAATGACGTAGATGTATTAACTTCTTATCGTTTTCCGGAATCTGAAAATATTTGTCAATCTTAATTTAATTGTTCTTTTTTCCATATGTAACGAATTCGTCACCATTTTTTATAATTATATTGCATTTCTCTTACGTACTCTTTCTGTGGCTTTTTGAAGTGTTTCAAGCTGAAGTGATGAAATTTTGTGCAAAGTTTTACCATGATCAGAAAGTCTGTAATAAATAAGAAATTGTTAACTCTTTACTTGAGTCACTGTTTAATAGCTGCTTTCAGTGGATCACATGAGTTCAGCTTTAGTTGGCTGTATGTCTAAGTTGTTGAACCTCTGATCTAAATATGTGTAATTTCAATGTATTACTAATGACTGACTACTCTACACTTAACTGTATTCATCATAAATACAAAGGTATTTTATGGATAGTTTGAAACTCATCAGTGAATGTTCCTAATGAATTTAGTTTCTTTTACAAGTATACACGTCACTCTGAAATAAAATGTATCAAGCTTTTTGTGTGATATGCTGTCGTTTATTAGACAGATGACAGATACTGCTAAGTTGCCAATGTAATCAAGTTCACCTACGCATTTTAAAGGAACGCAAAACGTATCAGTAGTGACGATTAATTCTTCTTCGGTTTTCATTATTAGTATAAAAAAAGGGATTCTCACAATAACTGTGTCTGATAGTAATTTGTGGGCACTTTTGTCACCTCGGATTACACACTAGTTTATTACTCCGCATTTTAAAAATATACTGTTAGAATAAAGCAGCACTTTATAGTTATGACGAATAGTATCTCGATTATTTGATCGGTAGATATCTTCTTATCTTCACTTAGGGGAGTTTCTGTCGCATCAGCATTTTAATTTCCCTAAAAGGAAAACTTGTCATTCTTCCTCAGGCCTAAATTTATGTGATATGAAAAGAAAATACATTTCTTGTGATGTTAGAATACCTGTTTTATATATTTCAATATTAGTGTTTGCCCATAAATGACCTGGAAATGCGGAGTGTGTGAACTTGGAAATACTGATGTAACGATAGAAGACAAGGGCCAGGGAACGGATCGTTTATTAAGAAAATCAAGATATATGATTAGCAGAGAAGCAACGTCCTCTGATTGGTTGTTTTCTTGCTGAAGGTTATCCTGTACTGCTTGTGACCGTTTCTTAGAAAGTTAAGCCATGTATCTGCGAATCGTATCTGCACACGTTAAGTCTGCTGTGATTGGTTGCTGAGTTCCTCAAGATTAAGCTTTGTTATTGTTTTTTCCCATGACCCCGATTCGAGACATAAACATTGACGTAAATTGTTGTTTACGATTTTCGATTGCAGACAGCTCTTAATCGCAATATTTTGTGACCACGCTTTCATAATTTGGACTACAAAAATCTTATAAACTAATTTCACCTGGAGTAGGATTTATTCTAAAGTGAAGAAATGAGTATAAACTTGTTTTGGTCACTAAAAACATTGGAATACAGGTCGTGATACTGCGTTGATACATTTACACAACAAAATTCAAATCCCATGCTTGAAGGATGGCTTCTAAAAATGACCATTTTCTTCAGATTGCACTTCCAAACAATGCCTCAGCCGTTTCATTACCTGTGATACAGTAATTCAATAAACTTGATTCAATTGAACTGTCATGCAGCTTATTACAATGGCTGTGTTTTGGATATTATATTTTGGTATTAATCTCTCTATCATTATTATGATTATATTGTTGTTCTGGTTTTTGATTATCCTGAATTATATCTATGGCTATTAAATTTTTGTTGTCTTTATCTTCCTCAACCGTTTATAATTTATTCGAAACTTTAGTTTGTTCTTACACTTTAAAGTTGTTGAGTATCTGCTCTTAGAAATTCTTCCTCCACTGTAATATCTAACATGTGATCTTTATACAATGTTCGAACGCTGACGAAAGTTGGACAATAAACAAATGTATGGTACTCCGACATCTGGCTTAAGTGGCGATTGTGTCACACTAAGCTCGAAATCCAATGCTGCCTTGTTCCCCATTATGGATAAGGTTTTATTTTGATAAATCACACAGTGTTATACAGTACTGTTGCTCATAATCATATCAAGTTACTCACACAACTTTTTTCCTGCCTTGTTCTACTGGACCTCAATTAACATCACTTCATTGTATTCTGCCAGAACTTTCTATATTACCAAGAACTAACTACCTAGGAAGACGTTACCTTTTCAGCGTCTCTGTGTACGAGTCTACGTATGGCAGGGTGAGTTTTACCACCAACCAAATTGCCTCAGTGAAACTCGCCAAACAAAAGTCATAGTGTCAGAAGCAGAACTGCATGTATGAAGTGAAGCCTCTAGACATTTCAATAAGTTGCACGTCAGATAATAGAAGGTGTGTTCCGAAACTGCTCAGATCACAAACTATTTCTGGCCGGAACCAGTTTCTGAAACAGCTGTCGTTTGTGTGTTACTAAATATCCTCTCACTACCGCTAAAGTATAATTATTATTGTTTCCTTTAATTCCTAGAGGAACATAGGGCTTCAGCCGTGCGTCTCCATTCCGTTCGGTTCTCTGCTAGAGTCTTCACCTGGCTCCAAGTTTGCCCACACGCTTTCATCTCCTCTTCACATGACCTCCTCCAAGTCACCCTTGGACGACCAACTCGCCACTTCCCATTCGGGTTCCACTCGAGCAATGGCTTGTCTAGTGATGTCATTTGA